GAACTCTCAACAGAGGAATCTAAAATGGCTGAAAGACACTTAAGGAAATGGTCAACATCTTAGTCATCAGAGAAATGCAAATCAAAACAATTCTGAGATTCCATCCTATACTTATAAGAATGGCCAACATCAAAAACAATGATGACAACTTATGCTGGAGAGGTTGTGTGGAAAAGGAAACACTTCTGCATTGCTGGTGGGAATGCAAGCTGGTACAGCCCCTTCGGATGTCAGTGTGGCGATTTCTCAGAAAATTAGGAAACAACCTTCCTCAAGACCCAGTAATACCACTTTTGGGTATATATCCAAAGGATGCTCAATCATGCCACAAGGACATGTGCTCAACTGTGTTCATAGCAGCATTGTTTGTCATAGCCAGAACCTGGAAACAACCTAAATGCCCCTCGACCAAAGAATGGATAAAGAAAATGTGGTACATTTACACAATGGAGTACTGCACAGCAGAAAAAAGTAACAACATCTTGAAATTTGCAGGCAAATGGATGGAGCTAGGAAACATCATTTTGATGAGGTAACCCAAACCCAGAAAGACAATTATCACATGTACTCATTCATAGGTGGTTTTTAAATATAAAGCAAAGAAAACCAGCCCACAAATCACAATCCCAGAGAACTTAGCCAACAATGAGGACCCTAAGGGAGACATATGTGGACCTAATCTACATGGGAAAGAGAAAAAGACAAGATCTCCTGAGTAAATTGGGAACATGGGGACCATGGGAGAGGGTTGAAGGGGAGGGGAGCAGAGAAAAATGTAGAGCTCAATAAAAATCAATAAATTTTAAAAAAGCAACTTTCTTTTTTTAAAAAAAAATATTTATTTATTTATTATGTATACAATATTCTTTCTACATGTATGCTTGCAGGCCAGAAGAGGGCACCAGACCTCATTACAGATGGTTGTGAGCCACCATGTGGTTGCCGGGAATTGAACTCAGGACCTTTGGAAGAGCAGGCAATGCTCTTAACCACTGAGCCATCTCTCCAGCCCTAAAAAAAACAACTTTCCATTGGCCTGGAGGCACATACCTATGATTTCAGTGGGGGTGGGGAGGGTGGGTGGGAATGTGAGGGAGGGTGGGGGTGAGTTTGAGGCCAGTCTAGACTTTGTGAGATAAACAAGAGAAAGCAGATAACTTTCTAAAGCATAAAAAATAATGATATGCTACAGAATTAGAGTAAAGCATGTTGTAAAAGCATGTAGATTGAGGATTGAAACAGGTCTGTACTGTTTTAAGCTATATGGATTTTCTTAGGAATATGGTAACAAACTATAGGATTAGGATAAAAACTAGAAACATTTTTAAATGGATATGTTTAATAAACCTAAAGAAGTGACAAACTTTTAACTCAATTAATCTAAACAAGACAAATAGAAGATAATTAGCAAAAGTCCAGACCCAAATTCCAAGGCAATATTGCACACTAAGTGTAAATGGATTACATACAATAATTAAAAGGCACAGACTATCAAGCAGGCTAAAAGACAATAACCTATATACAGGCTTTCAACAAAAAGTACTCTTTTAAACGTGGATAGTTTGGAAGTAAAAGAATAGAAAAGTGTATCATGAAAATACTAAGCCAATAAAAGTTGGAGGGTGCTTGTCAATATCACAGAAAGCACACCTCAGGACAAAGAACTCATTTTATAAAGGAGTATGATCATTAAAAGAACATTTCAAAACACATGCAAAGAAGAAATACAATTACAACTGTAGCTGGAAATTTCCGTATCTGGCAGTAAACTAGTAACTGAAGATAGAGCACTATGGAGAACTAACTAGACCTGACATTTACAGAATGCTACATCAGCCAGGCAGAACACAAATAACTTCAAGTACATATGAAATGTTCACCAAGACAACATACGGGCCACAAGGAAACAATCAATACATTTTCGAGAACTGAGGGAGCAGCAGCAGAAGGCACCTACTGCATGCCTAGCAGCTTGAGTTCACTCCTAGGACCCACACAGCAGGAAGAGAGAACCTATTCCCAAAGAGCATTGTCCTCTGCCCGCCACACACACAGTGGAATGTGAGTGCCCAACACTGACACAAACAAAAATAAATGTAATTTTAAGCATGTTTTATAAAAATTAAAGAGCTTGATATAATAAAGAATATAATTTCCAACATTAACAAAATAAAATTGAAATCATTAACAGAAAGTATTTAGAAAATATCAAAATAATTGTAAAACTAAGCAATACATTTCTAAATAGAATTATAAATTCTGAGCAACAGAATTCTCAAAGAAAAGCCGAGAAGGCTGTGAGCAAAAATAAAATGGAAACTAGGAAACTCTCTGAGAGTTACTGGGAGCAGAGCAAAGGGAGACTTACTATATTTCCGTTTCAGCTGGGAGGAAATAGCACGATAGAGATTATGTCTCCGAGCAAGGCGGAGAGAAAGAGCCAGCTCTGCTCGCCAGGTGCTCGCCACTGTCACTGGCCTGGTAGAAATGAAGACCCTCAGAACAGACAGATCACTCCATCTGACCAACTGTTCAAACAATGGACCACCAAACAATGGAATTTCCCCAGGAAGCTCATTCTGGGAAAGGAAAGAGCCAGCCAGCAGGAACTTGTTGCAGCGCAGCCCCAGCTGCCCACTCGGGCTCAGTGATGGGAGAGACCGCACTCTGAGCAGCCACTGAATGTGCGCATCCTAGGCTGGCTACTTAAACTCTGCTCCCACTTCAGGACCTCTGAGGGGTTTGCTGAATTTCTCTCCCCTCCCCAATGGGGCCACACTGAATAAATGTCAGGGCTTTTTTTTCCTGCTTTCAATGTTTGATTTGTCTCTTTCAATTGCTTATTGAGGAGAGGAGAGGTGGCCAGACCTGACTGGGGCAGGTTGTTTAATAACACCATGGTACACACATGTCTACTACACTTACGCTTACAACACGCTCTCTCCCCCGCCCCCCATAATAGTAATAATTTTCAATATTTGGATCTATTACCAGGCATGGTGGACTACACCTTAGTCCCGGCACTCAGGAGGCAGAGACAGGTGGATCTCTGTGAGCTCAAGGCCATCCTGATCTACAAGCGAATTCAGGAAAGCCTGGGATACATAGCGATACCCTGTCTCAGAAGTGGGAGGACAGAAAGAACAATAAGAACAAGTCCTTAAATATCAGAAAGTACATGAAAAGGGAAGAACAAAATCTGAGCATAGTGGCCCACGCGTATAATTCTAGCAAGACCCATCTCAGAAAAAACAAAAGTACCAGAAAGAGCTAGAGTTAAGCCATCAGAACATCACAATGTCATGTCTGTAACAGCCAGATGTCACTGCTGCTGGGACACGGGGACCTGCTGCTTGAGAACTAACTGTCGGTGAGGAAGCCAGTAACTCCCAAGGTCACATGATCCCAAGAGTCCCAAGAGCATAGGCGTCTACAAACCTACAACTCAACAGTCTGGGCAGCTTTTACCTCATCCCCGACCTGGAAATAAACCCAGTGCCCCAAATGCAGGATGGATAAACACACAGCGGTATAGTCATCTAACGGAACACTGTCAGCAATACACATACAAGGCCCCCCAACACACGTGTTCTCTGTCCAGCGGGAGGGTTGAGGACGCGAGACCTGAGCACAGGGACACACACGAGGGCTTCTGCGATGGATGGTGGGCACGCTCATCTCACTAGATCCTCAATGTGCTGGATGGAGTGCTAGCTCCACCCGCTTAACCACTAGACAGAGTCGAAGAGACCAGAAGGGGGAGTGAGCAGAGCCATGGGCGAAAGCGGAAGTGCTGGCAGCTGCTTTAAAAGTTACCTTTATTGAAGCAAAATTTACACATAGTCAATACACCTGACTCAGTAAGTACACACCTGCCATCCATCCATCCATCCATCCATCCATCCATCCCCAATGCTGGAGACCAAACCCAGGGTCTCACACGTGCTTTAAAAATGAGCAAGCTGAGGTTTTCGTTTTTCTTTACTTTCTTTCTTCTTTCTTTTTCTCCCGCTTCCCCTCACTTTCTTTTTCCCAAGACAGGGTTTCTCTGTGCAGTCCTGGCTGTCCTAGAACTCACTTTATAGACCAGGCTGGCCTCGAACTCACAGAGATCCACTTGCCTCTGTCTCCCAAGTGCTGGAATTAAAGGTGTGTGCCACCACTACTGCCAAGCAAGCTATTTGTGTGTTTGGTAAATCTTAATTATTTCAAATTCTAGATTTTTATATTAGACCCCAAAACAATATTGGGGCATTCAAAGTGTCTCTAGGACTCGGTGTTGGCTCTAGAGCTAAATTGTATTTCTTGATCAGACTCCATAATTTCTCAAAGTCTAAGTCTTCTTGTCCATAAATGGGCATAATTCATAAAACTGATGGCATAAAATTACTTTATTGTTAGAGGAATCCTGCCAAACTGCGAGCACAATGCCCAGACAGTAAAACCGCTAACGTAGCTGACCTGTCCCAAGAGACCAAGGTCTGTGGCTGTTACCCTGTAGCCTGTGAGTATGGCATGCTCTGCAGAACTTGTCAAAGGTTTGGTTATGAGTCCCACTTCCCCACCACAGCTGTTTCAAACCGGTAGCCAAGACTCTGGAGCATCTTCTGGCACAAGCTTAAAAGTGGACACATAAAAGGCTTCCCACGTCATGTTGTTAGGCCTGCATGCTGGTCTTTGAGCAGCCAACTATGCTGGTGGCTGAGAAGCCCACCCCCAAAATCCCCCTTCCACGGCCCATTCCACTTGTGGGCCCACACCTGCTCAGGCTTCCTGGTTTGCAGGTTCCCCGACTCCATGATCCAGCCCTAGTACCTGTCACTTCAATTTACCTCCCTGACGCCCTGCCTGTCCACTCCACAAGCTGCCTCCACGGCTGGGAACACTCACAGAGGGCAAGCAAGTTGCTCAACTTTCTGGTGCCCCTTGGCCCAGCTCCCAGGATACAGCTGCAGTCACAAGCACAATTATTTGAGGCCACAGGCTAGCATGCCATCTACCTCAGTGACAAAGAGCTGGAACTCTTCAGGCAGAATCCACGAGCGAGGGTAGAAGTTGTACTCGTCCGGAAACAGGTTCTGCATGATTCTCAGCGCTCTGCTCAGGGTGATTTTACGCACCATCTCCGTCATGCCTGAAGAGAAGAGAAGCCGTGAGGCTCGACCAGGGTAGGCCACCAGAGACGTTTAAAGCCTCCTGCCCACCACGGTCATGTTCTCAGGCGCAGAGACTTGCGGATTAGAAGGATCTACTAACGTAAGGAGAATTGGTCCATTTATCTCCCCTCACTGTAAAATGGGAGTGCGAGGTTTTGCCTCCATTTGAGCCTCGAGCCTGAGATTATCCTTTGTCATCTTTGCGGGTAATAAAGTTCTACCTCGCACTTGCTGAGGCCCTCTCTATCACATCCCAGGACACATTACTTCACAATTCCTCTATCCTGTGGACTTTGGTGACATCATTAGAAACTTAATCAGACTGCTTTGTTTCAATCTTCCCTGACAACTAAAGGCATACATAGAAACACACATGCCTCTCCTCTCCCCCCTCCCACACGGCCCAGCGAGGTCTGATCAAGTTCACTGGACTCTCCCCGATGTCCCTGCCTCTGGCTGCTCTCTCCTTTTACCCACATTCAGCCTTCTCCTCCACCATCCCTAGGAGCAGCCATGTCCTTTCCATTTTGTTTCCGTTTTCATTCAACACGGCCCACAGGCTCCATGCTCCAAAGACTCCAGGCCCCCAAAGCTCCAGCACACCCCCTCCCCAAAGGCCCACAGGCTCCATGCTCCGAAGACTCCAGGCCCCCAAAGCTCCAGCACACCCCCTCCCCAAAGGCCCACAGGCTCCACACCCCTCAGACTCCAGGCTCCAGAGGCTCCAAGCTTTGCCTCTGTCCTGAAAACAACCTCTCTTCACTTGAGAGCCTCCCTGTCTCTAGAATCCATCGAGACTTGCAGTGACTGATCCACGACTGTTTCCCTCTGCTGAGTGTTTTATGTGTTTTTCTGATCTCTGCGTTGGTAACTTATCTTTTGCTCTTTGTGACCTGAGCCACACACAGCTGAGTGGGGTTTCCAATGTGGCTTCCCCACTGCCCCACTGGCCCCCATGGAGCTATGGCATGCTGTGGCCTGTACCAGGTCAGCTCCTCCAGAATCTCCCCCAGCCCACAGGCTCCGTTGAGCGTGCTCTCTTCAGCACAGTACTCTGACTAAGACTCGCTCATCCCTGAACCAGCGCTTGCCGCCTGATCACCTGCCGCTCCCACCGACAGGGAAGCCCCCGACTGCCATGTACCACCTCGCCTTTCAGACCTAGAAACCCGGTAGAAAACTGCTGCCTGTCAGCTAGGAAATGGCACCTTTGGACTTTCTTAAAGCAAAGACAGAGCCAGGTGTGGTGGCACACCTCTGGATTCCCAGCACTCAGGAGGCAGAGGCAGGAAGATCACAGCAAGTTTGAGGCCAGCCAGACTGAGGCCATCCAGGGCTACACGGAGAGCCCTGATTTTGTTTCAAAAACAAAAACAAAACAAAAAACCAAAGCAAAGACCTATCTAAATGTTTAAACAAAAATATTAATACATTATCTATGATATAAATGCATTTTGAACAAAGAAAATTACCCATAGAAAAGCAAACAACATCAAATGCAGTGACACAGACAGATAAAATCCACTAGGAGTGTCCAGAAGATGCAGGTTTATGCTGGATTTCTAGCATATTCTCTCCAGGAGCGTCCACCAGAACTAGAGATTCACCTGTGTGGGAAGTATGCTTTTAGAATAATGGGATATGTGTGAGTCAGGAGAAAAGCCCAGACATGCCAGGAGCCAGAAGTCCATCAGCTCTGGCTGGAGTTGCCCACGGCCTTGGCTGGCTGTTGTCGAGGTGGAGGATGTGGAGAAACTCCCTGCTGGCAGGTTCCCAAGGCTGCTGTGTCCGCCCAGACAACTGCTGCGTGTTCCCGTCGTGGGCAGGGTGGATATATGATGGAGCACGCTCCTCTCTTTGGAACAAACATTCTTGTATAAAGCTGGTCCTTCAGGAGTACTTTTGCCTCCTTATTTGCTGATGTTGGCCCTTAGCTACTTTCTTACTTGCAGCCGTCAGGGGAGACGGAGTGGAAAGGAAAGGCAGTGGCAGGCTCACAGGTGACTGTGGGTCGTGTGACAGAACTCTGCCTGTGCAGTGTTGATTGCGTGCAAACGTGCAAATTGTTTCCTCCATGACCTCAAGAAGTCCCCCCCCCCCGCTTTTAAAAAAAAAGTAGTCTTTTTGTGAGTAGCAAGACAGAAAAAAAAAAAAAACCCAGTAGCAAGCCCATTAGAGCGGTGTGCACAGACCCTGGATGCAAGGCTCTCTCGCTCTCACAAAACCCTTTCTCCTCTCTGAGAACAAATTCGACCTTGGGATAACTTCCAGCTCCGTTCCCCTCAAAACCGATAAAGGTGGGATATCTGCTGTGTTGGCGAAGGGCAGGGCACACGGTTAACACAAACTCAGACTGGTAAGCTGCATGCCAGCAGGTGCCTGGATATGAGCTTTGCAGGGTCCTCGGATGCACAGAGATGCTGGCTCCTGTGGCCATGGAAGCCAGGACAGATGTGGGCCAGAAACAAGTCCCTGGGACTTTTGCAAATACTTTACTAAAGATAAATGCTCCATACTGACTGGCAGCCATGTTGTGCTTCCTACCCTGTCTCCTTCCCAGTGAACCAAGTACTGCCTATGTTAGCAGCCTTGAATGTCTGAGTTAATCCCCCATGAGCGTGACAAAACTAGCCAGTGTGTGAATATGTATATGGATGTTGGGTTTTCTGAGAAGGGGTGTCTTTGTTGTTTGTTTCGGTCTTGAGAGAGGGTCTCATTCCATGTCTTAGGCTAGCCAGCAGCTCAATGTGTTGCCTGGGCTGAGCTCCAGTGAATGGCTATCTTTCTGTCTCAGTCTCCCAGTGCTGAGATTACAAGCATGAGCCACCATATCGGGCTAGCTGAGAGGCCTTTTCTTGAAGATATGGGACAGGATACTAAAAAAGGGCAAACTGGTTCTCCCTTCAATACAAGTTCAAAAGACAAGACACTAGCAGAAGCCAGTCTGCTATGGCAGCTGCACTGAGGCTGCACTATACAAACAGTGACCAAAGCTAAAGCCTGAGAAATTCTGGCTGGAGAGACAACTCAGGGTGAAGAGCACTAGCTGCTCTTCCAGCTCCAGAGCTCTGATGCCCTCTTCCGGCCTTCACAGGCACTGCATGCACATTTTACATATATACACACATACATACAGGCAAAAGGCTCATGTACATAAAATAAAAAATAAATCAGACTTTGAAAGAAAAATATAAACAAGGGATGGAACTTGGGTGATTTTTTTGTCCTTTAAAATTATTTATTATATTATAATAGGATATAATATTTACAATACAATGCAGTAACAAAAATAATGTGAGGCCTGTATCTGGAAGCTCAACAAAACACTCCCTCCTCCCCAAGTAGCCCCACTAACCCTCACCTCTGTCATCATACGCGGTCAGGAATAGTGATTATAGAGGAGATGGAGGTAAGGGTTTGAGAGACAGAAAAGAAGTAGACACGGAGGCTGGGCCCCACACACGGAGGTGATCTTAACCATTTCCTGCCACCATGTCCTGGCCGCAGGGTAAGTCTAGAGGCTGCCCACAGCCTATGGCACTTAAAGAGTGGGGACTAGGAGAGCTCGCTCTAATGCTACCTTCAACTGTCATGTCTGACCTGGCTCCCCGCTCGAGGAAGGCTGTACTTCTTCCTGTAGACTCTGTAGCCCATCACTGGACTCCTGTGCTGTATCTCTAACTCAACAAGTTCAAACCACGTTCGTTCGTTTTGTGCATGTTTACCTATGTGTGTGGTATGCATGTGTGTGCTGGTGGACATGTGTGCGGAGGGCCAGAGGTTAATATCTGGTACCTTCTTCCACATCACTCCCCACCTCAGTTCACTTCGGTCACTGAACCTGGAGCATGCCCATTCTATTAGCCTGGCTAGCTGCTTTCCCTACGCATCCTTTGTCTCTGTCCCAGGAAGCAGGATACAGGTGAGCATCTGAACTCCAGTCCTCACACGTGCACAGCAAGCACCTGACCCACAGAAAGCAGGTCTTTAACCTGGGACGGCCAGTCTACATCTTCCAAGCCTCAGGTGTGTTAGTTGTCATGATTCCCTGGGGACTTCTTCTCCATGGCAACAGCAGCCAGGCAGAGCATGGGCAGACATTCTCAATTAAGAGTCCTCATGATCTGAAAACATTGTCATGTTCTTGTGGAGGAAGACTGTATTCTGGACCTAGAGCTACTTCTAAAGACCAACAATAAGAGCAGATACCTGGAAATTTGTTCACTTGACCGGAGAGTATGTCACTGTCGCGAAATGAAACTCCGTGCCAGTAGATGTCACAAGGCAAGCGCCGGCCAAATGGGAACTGGAAAAAGAGGGGAATGTGATTTGTAGTGCGAGTAAGAGCACAGCAGCCACACTGGGGCTCAGGGTTTACAAATGCCTGATGCCAGGTAAACATCCCACAGTTTAATCTCCAAGGCAAGTAAGGAAATGGCTCCCACGGGCCGCGTGGCTCAGAGCAGTGGCAGAGAGACTGTTGTCTGGCAAGCACTGTTTTCTTTAACAAGCCTCATGACTGCCTTCTAAAGGATTGCTCCCATTTCACTGATTAAAAACTTAAGGCCAAAAAGCATTCATTTAATATGCTCTGTTCATGCAGAGCTGGTGTGTTCAGGTTTAAACCTAGGACAAAACAACCCAAATCCTAAGTCCATACGTCCTTCCCTTTCTCTGAAACTGGCAGCCCTCAACTGGGCCCACAAAGCAGGCAGTCTCTCCTTTCCCACGTGTCTCACACACAACTCCCCACACCACAAGAAGCATCCTTGGCTGTTGAGACAGTCCCTGGGCCTTACTGCACATGTTTTGAATTCATAAATGAATGAGCCAGGGCATGGTCACCCGTCTCAGAACAACCTAATGAGTGTCTGCCTTCCAGGGATTTGGAAGTCAGCGACGCCAGGCAACCTCTGCTGGCCCCTGGCGCCAGCGCAATGAAAAGACAGACGGAGGCAGCTCTAGATGACCGAGTGCGGGAGGGGGCAGCCCATCTGCTGAGAGAAGGGCCAGCCGCGAGAGAAACAGGGAGACAGAGACCCTGGATCGTCGGGCCTGTTGTCCTCCCCAGCCTGGCTGCCCCACCTGCCCTTGGATCCTACAACACAGTCCTGGGTTGTTCTAGGTTCCTCTTTTGTACACGCTCTAGGGCTGCACTTGTTTCCAGTAGAAACCCCCTCACAGACCAAAAGGTCTGTCTTTCTGCCACATTCCGCAACCTTAATGCCACTAGCAAATTCTGCCTCTGTGAAAGCAGTTCTTTAAAATGTGACTCGGGTGACCTTGTTCACGGAGTGTGAAGACTGGCTAGCTCACACTTAGAACTTGCTTGCTAAAAGTCCAAACAAAGAGAGATGGCCATACTTAAATAAAACCATTTGATGTTCCCATTTTGAGACTACGCTTCATCAGAATTTCTATCTGCTGTGAGTTGAGGGCTCCATCCTGATGGACTCACATGGCCTGACTAATGAAATGGCGGTAAGGATGCTTCCAGCCATCCCAAGTGAAAACCGAGGCCAGCAGCCTCCAGCCCTTTACGTCAGCTACGTGGCTTCCACGTTGGGCCACAGTGAGGCATGTGCTATTACAAGTGCAGGCGTGAACAACTTGTATGCACAATTCATAGCTTTTTGTTCATTTTCTTTGCTTCCAATGGGTGGCAAGTATTCAGCAGCCATAAATATTAAGAGTTGGGACATATGCTGCCTCCTTCCAGCTGTTAAGTCTAATCTAGAAAGGCAAAGACAAGATGATGGGGGCTCTAAAATGCAAAATGTACAAGCAACTGTACTGTAATTGGAGTGACTTTATTGCCATCATTAGTGACCAACACCGGCTCCTTGCTAGTGCGCTGCCTGATGATACGTCACAACCATGCCATCGGCCTCCAATTCACAACGAGGCGGAGTGGCTAAGGTGGGAGGGCTGTCATGAACTTGAGGCCAACCAAAGTAAGACCTGGTCTTATGAAAAAAAAAGCAAATAAACAAACAAAGCACAAACAAAGAAAAGAATAGAAACAAATACTTTTAGTTCTTTAAGTTAAAAAAAAAACTACATTTTTCCAGTAATCATCATGCTCCAGGTTCTCCATATCAAGGAACACAGAACAGGACAATTTCCAAACCCCTCCTCAGAGCTTGAACGTATTCAACAGCAGAAAGCTGAAGTCTTAGCTTCTAAGATTGAGAACAAGACAAGGGCATCTGGTTTCACTTCCTTCTTATTTTTTTATTGATTTTTATTGAGCTCTACATTTTTCTCTGCTCCTCTCCCTGCCTCTCCCCTTCTCCCTTCAGCCCTCCACCAAGGTCTCCATGCTCCCAATTTACTCAGAAGAGTTTGTCATAGCCAGAACCTGGAAACAACCTGATTTCACTTCTGTTCAACAGAGGGCTAACAACATTAGAGCAACAGGCAAAAGAAATTACGGACACTCTCACTAGCAATGGAGAGGGAAATGGCCTCTGCCTGTGGAAAACAGGATCCTATATGCAGGAAGCCCTCACGATTGCATGAAAAACTGGCAGATTACACAACAAGCTTACAGTATAGGATCCTATATGTAGGAAGCCCTCACGATTGCATGAAAATTTACAGATTACATAACATGCTTACAGAAAATCAAGAGACCCGTGCTCTAACACGGAAAGAACAAAATACTTCAGAGTTAATGTGAGAAGGGAGTAAATGCCTTGTACAGAGAAAACTACAAAATGTTCTTCAAGGAAATTAATGACAGTTCAAATAAAGGGAAAGAAATTCCATTTCACAGATTGGAAACAACATTATTTAAGATGTCAATACTTGAAGCCCGCCTTTTCATCTGTGAGGTCCTTGGATCCCCCAACACAGCCTGCTTCAGGGCAGAGGGGTCTGGAGAGTGTTTCTGCCACTGGGGCTTCTTTCTACCATCCTACCCTGCCCCCCAAGCCTGCCTTTTGGTCTGTGAGGTCCTTAGAATCCTGCAAGAGACCCTGCTCCCGTGCTGAGGGGATCTGGAGAGGTAAGTGCCCAGGGGACTGAATCCAGGCCCCCTCCAATTCCCTAAGCTTTTCTGGCCAACCAGCAGGGTGAGTTCCATGCTGCTGGCATTCTTTACCCCATTCCACCCTGCCCCCGAAGCCCATCTGCAAAGTCCTTGGATCCCCCAACACAGCCTGCTTCCAGGGGCAGAGGGGATGCTACCATGTGAGGGGACCTAAGAGAGGGCAGACCAAGAAAAACTCCAAAGTACACAGTCAGCCACAACAAAGATTGGACCAAGGTGCCAAGACTCTGTTGGCCTCATTTGAAGGAAGAGATGGGCAGGTGTCAATGCAAGAATTCCTCCAACATCCTGAAAAGCAACATGGTAACACCAGAATCCAGTGAACACACAACAAGAGGACTTGAACATCCTAACCCAGAAGAAGTAGAAGAAATCGACTTTAAACGTAACTTTATGAAAATGATGGAGACATTTAAACAGGAAATGAAAAACTCCCTTGAAGAAATGGAAGAGAACACAAGCAAAAAGTTAGAAGATATTAATAAATCCCTCAAAGATACCCAAGAAAACCAAGAAAAAGCAATCAAACAGGTAATGGAAACAATTCAAGACTTGCAAACAGAAATGGAGGTAATAAAGAAAACACAAACCAAGGGATGGCTGGATATGGAAAATCTGGGTGAATAAACAGGAACTACAGAGACAAGTATAATGAACAGAATACAAGAGATAGAAGAAAGAATCTCAGGTGCTGAAGATACTATAGAGGAAATAGACTCATTGATCAAAGAAAACAGCTAATCCAACAAATTCTTAACACAAAACATCCAAGAAATCTGGGACACCATGAAAAGACCAAACCTAAGAATAATAAGGGTAGAAGAAGGAGAACTCCAGCTCAAAGGCCCAGAAAATATATTCAACAAAATTATAGAAGAAAACTTTTCCAACCTAAAGAAGGATATTCCTATGAAGGTACAAGAAGCTTACAGAACACCAAATAGACTGGATCAAAAAAAATCCCCTCGCCATATAATAATCAAAACACAAAACATACAAAATAAAGAAAGAATATTAAGAGCTGCAAAGGAAAAAGGTCCAAGTAACATATAAAGGTAAACCTATAAGAATTACACCTGACTTCTCAATGGAAACCATGAAAGCCAGAAGGTCTTGGGTCAATGTGCTGCAGACACTAAGAGACAGTTTCTGGCCAGTCAGCTAAAACATCCTGTTTGTTCGTGTTCCCTCTGCCGTCTGGTGATTAGCTATAGGGCATTGCTGACTCCATCTTGGGCATGGTAATTTCTCACCTGCCTGAGGGGTATTCCATTGTGCAGCAGCTAGGTGTTTAAGGTTTTCCCTAAATTTGAATAAATGGTATTCTACTGATCTCCTTTCGAATGACCCAGGTCTCTTGTGTGTTCTTTCGATCTCCATGCCCTTGCCTGACTCGCAGACGGTACAGTGGTGTGCGAACTGTACCGAGAGAGTAACACAGGTGTTACAAAATACAAACACAGAAAACAATCCAAAGAATCCATGAAACAAAGAACTGGTTCTTTGAGAAAATCAACAAGATTGACAAACCCCTATCCAAACTAATCAAAAGGAAGAGAGAGAACACTCAGATTAACAAGATCAGAAATGAAAAGGGGGATATAACAACAGACACTGAGGAAATTCAAAGAATCATTAGGTCTTACTACAAAAGGCTGTACATGACAAAATTGGAAAATGTAAAAGAAATGGACATTTTTTAAAATAAATACCATATACCAAAATTAAACCAAGACCAGGTGAACAATTTAAATAGACCTGTAAGTCACGAGGAAATAGAAGCTGTCATCAAAAACCTCCCAACCAAAAAAAAAAAAAGCCCAGGGCCAGATGGTTTTAGTGCAGAATTCTACCAGATCTTCCAAGAAGAGCTAATACCTATACTCCTCAATGTGTTCCACATAATAGAAACAGAAGGGTCATTGCCAAACTCTATTTATGAAGCTACAGTTACCCTGATACCAAAACCAAACAAAGACTCAACCAAGAAAGAGAATTATAGACCAATTTCACTCATGAACATTGATGCAAAAATTCTCAATAAAATACTGGCAAACTGAATCCAAGAACATATCAAAAAAAATTATCCATTTTGATCAAGTAGGCTTCATCCCAGAGATGCAGGGCTGGTTCAACATACAAAAATCTATCAATGTAATCCATCATATAAATAAACTGAAAGAAAAAAACCATATGATCATTTCATTAGATGCCGAAAAAGCATTTGACAAAATTCAACACCCCTTTATGAT